TGTTGGTCCACTTCAATAAAAGCCAATGAAAACAAATGCGTGCCAAACGGCCACACGCGGTTCCAATTGTGTTTGACTGGTATTCAATTATTTTTGTTTATCATTAATTGATTTTGTTAATTTAATTATTTTTTCGTTTTTCTCTTGTAACGTTACTGATAATTATAAAATTATATAAAATGGTCTTGATCAATTATACTCGTATATTCATCTGTTATACGAAATATTAAAAACTAGCATTGAATTGAATTTTAATTTTTAAAAAGAGATTCGTTGGTTTAATTTTTATACTTAATTATTGTCGAACTAAATTAAATATCTAATCTGTTTTAATCTGGTAAATTTTTACTCAATTTATTATTTTTTCAACCTTTGTGTATTAAACTATTTGGTACTCATAGAATTCATTTCCAAATAGGGTGCACTGTTTATAGGATTTTAATGTTATTTTACGTATTGACAACGCACAATAATACACTGATTTTGCGGCAACGTAATTATTATCGTGTGCTCGCATTCGTTATTACATTTCATCCACGCTTCTTTGTCAATTGGATTTCCCTTGCGAGTTATTTTGAACAGGGCGACGAAAATATATTATAGCGCATACACCGTAACTCAATCGATAAAGCGGAAATTTAAAGACAAATGGATTCAATTATGCGATAGGAACAACCGGGTTAAGCTAGAAATTGGTACGGTTTTGCACAGCGTTGTTTTATACAGAAAAAAATTGAGTAAAACGTATACTATATCGCGGTACCAATGACATCGTTCCTTTTTTCAGATGTTTAAACGGTTATTCGAGATCAGCCGATCAAGGATATCAAATCGTTTTCGTAAGTTCCTGTTTGCATTAGTTCCGTTTTAAACAAGATTCACTGACTCGTCTTACATTTTTCGAAGAGCCTTACGAGTTATGTATAATTACGGTACGTGCGTGATACAATAATGAAATCCGCAGTATTTATTAATTATCCCTACATTTCGAACGATTCGTAAGTCGGAAAAAAAATAATGGTAGATCGAATAGGTACGCGTTACGACGATTATCCTACTAATGTTTTGTGTTTTTGTTTCGTGTATCTCACGTGAAATAATGACATCACCGTCGGAAGTTGATCGAAATCCAAATGCAGTCGTCGGCATAATATTTTACTACATACCATTTTATTTTACAGTCGTCAGCTATAAATCTAACTACTACCGAGATAACGGATTACTGTACATGGTATGGATATCATCCTGGTTTCAGACGAGAAACCAGTATTCATCTATCTGAATTAATTTTAAATTATAACGTTAAATTTTTGACAACTGCGTTAATGTTCACGCGTAGAACGTATACAATGTATTATAATAATTAAATGCGTTTCGTATTACCGAATTCTGTTTTTCTCGATTATATAATATTATGCACTTCGTTCGATATGATAATACATCAAGGCTCTTGACGTGTCGACGATAACAGCTGCTTTGAACCTGAATCGAACGCGTTCGTATAATTCCTAAGAGTTTTTATTTCGCCGGCATAAAACCAATAAAAGTTATCACTTTCCGACGGACGTGTTGAAAAACAATCTCATAAACACTCGTTCCGATTCGTTCTTTGTCACGAGTTATTTTATAGATCATATTCGGTCTATTTTTCGTGACCGATAAATAGATTAATGCGCCCAAAGTATAATCAATTATAATCATATCGAGTTATCGCGAGATTCGTGACTCGTATTAAATTTCTCCATCTACTAATCCTATGTAATTCTGAATGTTTTCCATTATTTTATTGGCAACGTAAACACGACAGTTGCTGCTACACATTCTATTCAGAAGCGCTGTTTAATTTATGTCATCCGTATGATCTATTGATCCAGCGCTACGTTTTAAAATTGCCATCTCGAACTGCGACTAAATGAGTGTTAAAAATAGGAATAAAAATACCGTACGAATGAGAAACGTTTGTGACGTTTCAACAGTCAGTCGCGTCCCCTCGTCTTTTTCGTTCATTTTACTCGGCTCGGTCGATCGTCATCGCGCTTAATAGAGCAGAAATCTGATTCCGGGGTGATTGGGGTTTCGCTTATTAAACGTATTAAAATATTGAAACATAGTTATTAAATATTATATTAGATATATATGTATACATGATTATGAAACACGATGAGAATCAATTGAAACTATTTTTATACGCTTCGTCGTTGAGTAACGCAGGAGTTACGTGCCCATTTTCTGCGTTTCAAACGACTAATCTCTAATCTCTCGGTGGACTTTGGATACAATTGTCTACAGTGCAGGTTACACTTGGCAACCGAATCATCTTTATTATTTATTTTCGATCGATACGTTTAACTGGGGCTGGATTGAGTGAAACTAAGGTCTAACTATAGTCCCGAGCCGCAAGTTCAAAGTGACCGAAATGTGTCGTTGGCTATCAAGTATTACTGTTCAGCCGAATAATCGTGGCACAAAAATACCATGTTTAATTAATACTTATTACAGAACCCGAATAATACAAACGAAACCGTTTCTGGTTAGAAATTAAGAGCTCGCCTTGTGTTAAGACCGCGGACCTGCTGCCAACAATTACATCATCCAAGCGAATTTAACGACTGAGCTTGCGAAGCTAGTAGTAGTAGCAGTGCCGGCCCGACGGTTTTCGGAGCCCCATACATATATATATATATATCAGACTTGGGTAAAATACTTTTTAAAAGTATTTTGAATAAATACTCGAATACTTACAAAAAATAGTATTCCGAATACTTTTAAAATACTTCTAGTTTTCATACTATAAAAATAATAGATATCCACTCAACAGAAATATTTGAAATTGTAGACTAAATATATGTTATTTTATTGTATTTTTGTATTACATAACTGTTATAGTTTATGGTTTACAATAATAATAAATACCTGATATTAGCTTATACAAGATACGACGGAGAAGTAATAATAATTTAAAAAAGAGATGATTTAACGGTATTCGAAATATAGTATTCAGAATACTCGTTATAAATATTCAAAATACTTTATTGAATATTTTCAAAAAAAATATTTAAAAAGTATTCTGAATACAGTATTCGGAATACTACTTACCCAAGTCTGATATTGTTCGAACAAGCTATTGTGTTTGTGTCTGGCCACGACAACCGGTTCCCCCCGATAGCGTGCCGATTATGGAATGTTCGCGAACTTTCGGTTGGCGCGCTTCGTCGCGCTGGCATCACGCTCCGGGGCGGCACTTGCAACCGAGCGAGCTGTTGGTGCGTATTACCGCCGGGCGTGTGATTTTTCTTTTACCGTCGTGCGTGTTACCGTCGTGCGTATCACCGCCGGGCGTATTATTTCGTCTACCGCTGTGCGTTGATTTCATTAGCGGTGAGGTCGACGGTGTTTTCGTCGTCAACCGTGTTGTGGCTGCCTGTCGACGTTGCGGTCGTGTCCACTGGCGGGAGCATCACTATCATCGTGGCCGTCGAGGAACGAGGTTTAGCACCTGATTTTTTATATATACATATATATACACAATTTATTATATCATTTTTTTGTTTTATTATTATTATTAGCACACGAGGGCGCCCTACTGATTATATATTATTGTGCCCTTTTTATTTTTACTACACCGACCGTAAACTATTATTATTTTAATTTTATTTATCAATAAGTCACTTTACATTGTGGGCATTTTGATTATCACAGTGAATGCGACCTACTTTCCGGTGGTCTCTGGGCCGGACTGTGTTGTACGTAACATATATATATATAAATTTATTACATAATTGTTTATGGAAATCTATGTTCGTTCATGTTATTATATAACTAAATATATACAAAAATTATACTTCGAACTGTTGTCGACGATAAATATTATACAAGTGCATGCGCATACAACACTTGAAAGCTATGCGTAATTGGTAAAGTCTTAATTATCGTCGATAACAACCCGTTTCCACACGACTACTACGGGTTGCGATTCACGTTTTTTTTTTTTTTTCTACATAAAGTGATATTCGAAATACGTAATTCGTGGGTTTCCGTACAAGTGCTACGAAGTCTTTCTCGCGTTTAAACATTTATTCGTTTCGATTGTCAAGTACCTTCGACATGGTTCTACTCAACGTCTGAGGGGGAGGAGAACTTCAGCGCGCCCATAGCTTCCTTTTTGTATCCGCGGCTGCGTGCCCGCGCGTTCTCTTCGTAGGACACGTCATAAGCACGCGGAATACGAGAAAACCAGGTGGGCCCCGTCTACTACGGCAATGAATACACAACTAAGGATTAATACGGGCGTACATAAACCGCATTGTGGGGGTGAGAGGAAATAACGATAATAAAAAAATAATAAAAAATCAAAACAAAAATCATCCACCTTCCATATGCGTGATTTATGGTCGTCGACGTTGATCCCCGCGAGCGCGTATTACACCGAGTGTTATGGCGAACACTATAACACGTGGTGATTGTCGTGCGCGCTCGTTGTTCCGTTTCGTCGCGTACAGCCGTGGTTCTCAACCGGTGTGTCGCGACATACTAGTGTGTCACGTATTACTTTGGAGTGTGTCGCCAAAATATTATTAATTAAAATTATAAGCTTTCAAAGTATGAACGTATATTATTACGGAATTATGATGAAATAATAAAAGCCACATATAAAAAAAAATTATAATGATATTCTTATTAATTCTTATTTTTTAGAAATAACATTAAAATCTACATTTTGTATGTCTCAAAATGATTCATTTCGAATTTCTCTGTAAATTCAATACACAGGAATAATAAGAATTGAAAATTTCGTTTTCTTTTCAACATCGTACATGACTAAATATTCGATATTGGAAATAACAAAAAGCAAAAATGATATTGACTGTAAATTACGCGAAAGTTTGTTAACCATTTGCCCATAAATCGAAGATCTATGCAGGTCTGCACAGTGTCGGCCTGGCCAGGGCAGCGAGGCAGCGAACGCTGCCGAGGCCCTCATCCTTTTTTTTTTTTTTTTATTCTAGTATAGGCACCTCAAATAGTGATGGACGGGGACTTAATAGCCCAGGGTGCTAAGTATTGTTAAAGGCTCTTTAGGTCATTACATACATGTGCGATTAAATTTTGGTAATTGGGTCTCGCACAAATATATACAATTAATGAGCAAAAAGAGTTTAAAGGATAAAAACTTATTAACATTGAATATTTGAATACTTTCGGTTTATTGGAATAATTTTGTTTTTAAAATACAAGTATTCTCTAGGTGTTTTGTTGTCATGCAACATTAAATTCTCTTATCGCATCATAATGGTTTAAGTTTAAAAATACGAGTATTTATTATTTTTCGTAAATTATTTTTGTTCTATTTTTGGATACTACATGTTTTTCATAATATGTTAACGCTCGTGCAATATAAGATAACGATAATACGATGTATAAATATATTTATATTTCTTTTTATACCAGTTGGATTTTTATCACTTCTATAATAGTTAAATTAATATTTGTATACATACGGGGCACGGGCATTCGAGTGTGTAACGCGTGTTCCGGTATTAGTGACCAGTTTCGTTTTGTGTTTTGTGTATCTTTATTAAAATTAACAAAAATGAATAAACAGAGGTTTCAAAGTGGACACGCCAAAAGAAAAGCGAAACAAAAGGAAGCCTTAATTGCTTGTGGAAACGACAAAAGTCAAAAAAAAATTTGCTTCTTCCCAACTATTAGACAAGGTAAGAATAAAATTCAAAATTATGTTTTATCTCACATGGTATACACTGCTTCTGCTAATTTCAGTAATTTCAGGTAATTCTAGTGTTACAAGTGATCCAGTTTTAAATATAACTGAAAATAATTCATCAGATTTTGAAAATGATTTGATACATGCCAATGGTAATAATAGTAAAAATTAAAAGCTATGCAATGTGAATGTTAATTTATTCAATAAATAATCAAAATTGTCTTTTTCAGATAATTCTAGCACAGGTTGTGATATAGTTTTAAGTACAACTGAAAGTAATATAGCAAATACAGAAAGAAACATAACTAATAATACTGGTAAGTGGTGATACATATTATATAAATATATTATGTAACTACTAACTATTAATTATAACTCAACTTACTTAACCTTATTTATTATTGCTTATATTAAAACAAATATATCTATTGATTTAATTTTTATCTAGTTGTTGAAAAAAGTATTGAATAAATTCAATTTTTATAGAGAATTAAATAAATGCTCTTTTAATATAAAAATTAATCTTATTTTATGCCAAAATAATTATTTTTTGTCTAAAATACACTCTCACAGTTAATATATTTTTGGATCATTTTTTAAACCAAGTTGTATAGTTTATACTAGTTATACAATATATATAATATATATTATTATTATTTTTTTTTTTAGTAAGCTACTTTTTTACTTAGTATTGACAATTTTAATTATATTTATAGGAAAAAGTAATTTCATTACAACTGATTGTCAGAATTCTGTAGGAATACATTTTGAAAGTGAAATAGAGCAAGACGATAACTATTTTGAAAATGAAAAAAATATGATGACCGATTGTGACAATTTTACTCAACCTTCAGCTATTTCACATTTTATTCGCCCATCTAGAACTGATAGTGTAGTAGTCAAAAATCAGTACTTTGATAAGCATCCCATTCAACCGTATATTCAGTCAGGTAAAGGAAAACTTGATTTTAAAAGAATATATTTCAAAATATTACCTAATAATGAAACTATTCAAAGAAAATGGATATCATACTCTACTGAGACTTGCTGCTTATACTGTTCTGCTTGTATGGCTTATGGAAGTCTAAAAATACTTGGTGCAATGGAATCAAAGTTTATCATTGGATATGAAGCTAATATTAAAGTAAACAAAAGCTTATACCAGGATATAGAAAGACATGAAAATTCTAAAACTCATGAGGAATCAATTTCGACAGCTATCCGTTTCAAACTTAATAATGATATTGAAAATGTTATCAACCGAGATGTCATGACAAAACGAGCATTGGAGGTTGAAAATCGAAGAAAAGTCTTAGAAAGGTTAATTGATATTATTATATTCATTGGCCGACAAGGTATTCCTTATAGAGGAAAATTTGAAGGAGCTTATTCACTAAATAATGATAAACGAAACCATGGAAATTTTTTGGAACTTGTGATGCTAATCTCAAAATATGATAACGTTCTCCAACAACATTTAAATACATCTATACAACTCAGTGAAAAAAATAAATCTAAGAAGGGTCGTGGATCGTTGGTTACATTTTTATCCAAACATTTCATTAATGATAACATACTAGTACCTATAGGACAAGAAATTCAAAACATTATTGTGAAGGAAATCAAAGAATGTCAAAAGTTCAGCATAATGATTGATTCAACACAGGATGTTAGTGTGATGGATCAACTTGCTATTTGTGTGAGGTATGTTTATGGAGGAAAAGTTAGTGAAAGATTATTTAGTTTAATTGTATGTCATGATTCCAGTGGTTTAGCTCTTTTTGAATTGTTAAAAAAAGAATTAAAAAGGGTAGGACTTCCGTTAAATGATATTGTGGCTTGCTCATTTGATGGTGCTTCAAACATGAAGGGCATTTATAATGGATTACAAGCACATTTAAAAACTTATAACCCTAAAATAGTTTATACTCATTGTATGGGACATGTTTTAAACCTTATTATGTCTGAAAGTACAACACATTTTACACTTGCTGAAGATTTATTTGGACTTGTAGAATCATCATCAGTTTTTCTGTCAGATTCTCATAAAAGAATGTCAACTTGGATGGCCATAACCAAAGTTAAACATGTTGCTCATAATAAGCTCTATCGTTTGCAAAAAATTGGAGCTACTCGTTGGTGGAGCAAAGATAAAGCTCTATCATCTATATTAGATATAAACTTAGTTGAAGATAATCAAAAAGTAGAGAATAGTAAATTTGTAACATTTTTAGAATTTCTTTTATCAGTTAACCAAGGAAACTTTAATACAAAATCAAAATTTATGGCACGTTCTCTTATTTGTAATTGGTCAAAATTTGAAACTATCTTTATAGCAACTTTATTGATTGACATATATTCTATTACTAGTCCTGTATCCAAATATTTACAATCTAAATCAATTAATTATTTGCAAGCCTGGACCATGATTAATACAATGAAAAACCTAATCAAAAAATTAAGAAACGAGTCTCATATTTTATTTTTATTTAAAAAATGTAAACAATTTGCAAATAATGTAAACTCTTATTTTCTTAACGAACCTTTCATAGAAATAGAAGAAGATTTTCCTGATAAACGAGTATCAAAAAAAAAAATGCTGTCTGGAGAAAAAAGCCAAGATGAATCTAGAAATCAAAGTCCATATGAGAAATTCAAATCGGATGCATTTTCTATTTTAGAAACTATACTTAATAGTATAGAATCAAGATTTGTACCAAATGAAGGACTTCTAAAAGATTGCCATTGGTTGGAACCTAAAGCTTTCCCATCAATTAAATCATTAAATAATTTTCCTGCCGACGTTTTAACAAAAATTTGTGAGTTAGCTGGAGTAGAACGAAAATCAATTTGCTATGAATTGAAACAATTTGCTTGTCAGTTTGAAAGCTTTCATCCTAAATTATCTGAATGTACAACTAAAATTGTTGATCAGCATAATGTTCAACAGGATTTATTATTTGAAAATATGGACAGTGATAATGATGTTGATGAAGAAAACGTTTTACCAATTGATTGCAACAAATGTAATAGATGCATTGCATGTGCTTATATCACAATTAGAGAACTTGCATTTAATTCCAATACTTTTCATAATTTATTTGTTTTGTATAAATATGTACTACTTCTTCCATCAACTCAGGTAACATGTGAAAGAGTTTTTTCTAAACTTAAGTTGGTTAAATCAAAATTAAGATCTACTATAAGTCAAGAACATTTAACTCCATTAATGCTAATGAATGTCGAGAAAGGTATAGAGATTGATAAAGAACATATTATTAATTGCATAGCTGGTTCATCTGATGCATTAAAAAGATTACTTACGTTATAAATAAAAAAAAATTATACTATTAGAATAATAATATAATGTGTTAAATCATTTATTTGTTGTTGTTTTAAAATTAACCAAGTCTGTTAATTAGTAGAATATAATTATTTAAATAGTGTATCAGTGAATTTAAGGAAATTTTATTAAAAAAAGAATAAGTAAATTTTAATACCTAATAAAGAGTATGTAATTCAAACTTGTATAAAATTCATCTATTTTTTAGTTAAAAGAAATATTATGTACACATTTGTTATAATAATAAAATAATAGTTTTATTTTAAATATATATTTTCTATAATATGTTGTGTATGTATGAAGTCTATATGTATGTAAGATATTACAAAACATGACTTTCAAAATTTCAACCCAATCTTAGATAAATTTTGATAAAAAAATTGAGGCCCTAAAAAAAACCCTGCCTAGGCCTTTCATAGCCCAGGCCGACACTGGGTCTGCATATTTATGAACTAATACGGTTTTACATAAAACTTTCTTTAAACTTTTTAATTTCAATCAAGAAATTAAGACTTTTTTAAATTTTAAATTTTTAAATAAAATTTCCAATAATAATAAAATCCATTAATTGTTTCAAGTGTGTCGCCATTTTTATAGATCTAAATTAGGGTGTCGCCATACAAAAAAGATTGAGAACCACTGGCGTACAGGACTACAGAAAAAAACAAAAATTAAAAATACACATTTCGCTACACTTGCACATGTTACCATTCGAGCAACGGTGGTGTTTTCTCACGAAATACCCTCCTTGTGCGTTCCAAAACAGGTACATTACCGAGGTTACTGCGTTAGTGCGACGAACGTCCTACCGTCTGGACGTAAACGAATCCCGCATAATGCTCTACGGTTGAAACTGGTCCTGTAACTGGCACGTATTTCGAATCGACACTGTCGAACGCACAATGAGTTCCGTCAACAACCGGCAACGTGATTAACAACGAAAAAATGCCCGAGACAAATTTTTTTTAGAAATACTTGCAGAAATAAAAAGAAAAATTAAGAACTTATTAAATGCTACATTTCCGGAAGCTAAAGAAACTTCAATGGTTCGAACAAATTATCCTTGGTGCGGATTGAACAGGCAGAGGAGCCCCTCGATCAGTTATTTCGGTATTTTTCGAAATCACGGATTTGATCAGTTTAGGAGCTGTGTGTGAGCGGTACATTAATCGTTTTAAATGTATACGTTTGAAAGCTTTTATTTTTCAAAACTATAGGTTTTTTAAAATAACTATATAAGCACGCTTCAAATTCACAATGTTTCGAATGTTTTGTACAATTATTTGATGTTTGTTAAAATATTGAATTTTTCTTCCATCTTCAGCTGCAAAACAATCAATAGTACTTTACATTCTCAAACAGAAATGGCCAAAAAACTTAAGAATAGGCTACCAGATGTTTTTTCCAATCGTTATTTATACACGAAAGCGAAATTAATTATTTTCACCGACCCGCCAATACTTCAGATTTGTATTATGTTTTTGTTCTTTTAAATTTCTGGGGTTAATCGCGTAGTTTTACTGATCGTGTGATAATAATAATTTTCATCATTGTTAACGTTGAAACTGTAATTTTTCGCGAAATTTGATCACTCACGTGTGCTACTAAGTGACCGCGGCCGTCAGTTTACCTCGGACGTGTGAAAAAGTGCACTGTACCGATGAGAGGCGGAGAGATGGACTACCCCAGTATACCATCCAAGGACCAATCCAGCAGCAAGACGTGATCAGGTGTTGAGAAAAAGCCCATGGGCACTTTTGGTAAACGATAATCGTCATTCGTGGGGCTACAAACTTTACTCAGCTATGTTTACATCATACAACCAAAAGAACAATAAGACCCGAATTTTGAACACGAAACAAATAGTCCAGGAGATTGGGCACTAACCATAAAGTCTGATGATACGACGCGGGTATCAGTGACGTCGAGCAGTAGCGTGATAGAAATCGAAAGGAAACCGGCAAGAAAACACCTGCGCATCAAGTACGTGTCCTCGTAAACTGCGTACCTACATCCAGTGCTGGATTAAGGGCCAATACCGCCCTGGAGAAAACAATGTTGCCCTCTCCACCTCAAAAAAAAAAGGTTAAGTGAAACCAAAAAAAAAAAAATCCTGGTTTTTATGTATTAATTAAAAAAAATAAAATACTATTATAAAATATAAGTTAAATATAATAATTAATCTACATAAACCAGTGGCGTGCCCAGGATTCATTTAACGGGGTTGTTTTAAAATTGAATAGACTTATGATAAGTGGGGGCTCTCCCCTTCCCGTATTACATTAATGAATACCATGTATTTATATAAATTATTATATAAATGAAAACGATTATATTAAGACTGTATAAGTAAAATCTACAAGTTGTATACACGTTTCTTTAAATTACGCTGTAAGTAATTAGGGGGTGGGTGTTCTAACACCCATATCACTCCCCTAAATACGCCCCTGACTTAAACTAAAAAGTATAATTAGGTATATGATTAATGTCACAGAATAGTTTTGCTAAGAATTTTTTTAAACAAAAAATATTGACAAAATACAATTATAATATTTAATAGTTACAAGTTTTTATGGTTTTCATATTAGTTCTTCTCACTTCATTTCCTCAATCAAATCAGATTCTGTGCATAAAATTGATAAGTTGGAGATTTTTTCTTGTATTAATGACGATTTTAAATAATTTTGATGAGGCTATTTTATTTATGCCGCCCCACTAAATTTGCCGCCCCGGAGCAAATGCTCCTTTTGCACCTAAGTTAATCCGGCCCTGCCTACATCGCATCAAGTGCACGAGGAACTTCTCGAACTTCTTTGCCGACACCCCTCGTTAAGGGCGTTCGTTCGATAGGTTATCGGTTTTATTTAATTTTCGAATCGAAAATCTGATATTTTGTGTTACCCGTGTTCGATGCCGCGTTAAACCTTTAAACGCTCATTATTATTATTATTTTAAATCGTTTTCTTACCGTAAAACATCTGACGCACATCATTACCACATTCTTGCGTGTTTATTGAAAACAACGCGTGGTGATGATATTTTAACGTTATATTATGTTGGCAGTTAAGGTGAGTTGCTCGGCCAACGTTTACTGCAGCATCTAAGGCGCATAATAAGATGAGCTTGACATAAAATCTGACTAACCGAATTATATACAGTTTGAATAAATCCGTACCCCGCGGCGTGTTTCACTCATACTGATGTTACATGCAGTAACAGTTCACGGAATTAAATCCTAAGGATTTTGAAGGAAATGCTGTTGCTGATATGATACGGTTTACGACCCAAGACAGCGGTTTGGAATTATTTTCAAACCTTGATTTTAAATACTCTGGGAATTTGGTCAGCAACTCAACGTTAAAGTTAAATAACTATTTTCATTATATTGTCCCAGAGATCCTAATGCAAACCGCAGTTGTTTCGTAAAAGAAAAAAATGGTCATCTTTAAAGTAATAAATGGTCTTCTGAGTTCACTCAAGTTGTAATGTGTATAACATATATAAAGAAGTTCGTTTTCCCCGCAATTTGTTACGTAATTAGCGCTTTTGTACAGTGGTATTTTTTACACATTAAGTACGATTTAACACGATCATCGTTCAAGTTGAACTGGAACGTGCACTCACAAAGTCAACGGGTTGTTCATTTACTTTATTCTTATCCATAGTTTGCCGTTCTCTTACCCAGGGGCATATTTTAGAGTAAAGAAAAGGGGAAATCATCCCCCCTGATTCTGTATTTAAGGAATTTATTATATGTAAGATACACGTTTCAAATTCTTTTAATGTGGATAATTTTATAACAAAATCAAATTATGCGTGGCTGTGAATACAGAATTGGGCTTTTTTTCGGGACCATACTTAGTGAAAAATCAAATAAAACACAAGCGTAACTTTCAAACTCACAGACAGGTATTAAAAAGAACTACACAAAAGTCGATTCTAAATGGATCCGGCATTAGATTAAAGAAAAAAAAACACAAATATTAAGGGTTCACCTGATTTAAATATTACCAAAAATTTTACTTGTAAATTTTGAACCTGAATTAAAGAAAGAAATTGAGTTTACCCTCCCATCCCCCAGAAGTAAGTCTAAATGTCCAAATCGCCCCTGTTCTTGCCGTTGAAGCGAAACCGAATTCGGTTCAACCAACGGGGTTGTAGCCTGTAACGTTCGGTCCATGTTCGTTTATTTTTCTCGTCCCCCGGAATACATCGTGGCTCGTCGTCGTGT